TGTATGCACCCATCTCTGTCATTATATATAAGTTTTTAAATAAATATTTTTCTTAAATAAAGCATTGATTTGTATTTAACTAATGATCCAATTCTTAACGAGAAAAGCATTTGAAACGTCTGGAAGAAAATGAAACAAAATGTGCAATTAATTCATGACTTGAAGCTATTTAACTGTAAGTATAAACACAAAAGTTGTTTGAAATGCAAATCACATTCTGATCGTTACCTTTAAATATCCATTTGTGTTGAACCAAAAAAGCGTCGATTGTTTCGATCAATGATCCAAATTATTATTATTATTTGCCATCAAATGGTGGGTCAGCTCTTTGTTTGCTTTATTGCTGACTATTTTTGTGAATACAAAACAGGTCTAAATAGTGCTAAAAATATAATTAATTTAATTGGAAATTAATTTTGTTCTCAATTATTGCAAGAAAATAAGAAATTGATTGTTAGGATATAAATTATATACCGGTAAATGTAAACCATATTGTATTGGATAAAACAGTGCTAATTAACTATTTAACTATAATAGTAGTTATNGCATTTAAACACATGTGTATTGACTACAGTATTGATTGAATCAATTTGATTGTGACAATGAGTGAAGAAGTGGAGGAAGCGATGGATGTGTTGACAAAAGTGTTGTCAGCAGTGGATGTGGTTCTCGATGACTGTCTTTCTGCCAATTGTGACGACACTCTCGTCCAGAAGTTGCTGTCGTTTCTCAAACACGACCAACACTTCCCATCAGAGCATAAGATTATGGTTTTGAAGTCATTGGAGAAGACAATTGACACGCCTTTGGATCAGTTGTTGGCCAATGATTGCCAACAATTGTCTACGAAATTACGCTTTTGTGGTTCACTTCTGTCCGATCGACAGCTCTTTGAATGCCAACAAAATTGTCTCAAATTTATTGAATTGATGTCCAATGAAGTGATTATTTCTAACAAATCTTCGCTGAAGTACTCATTCGTGAGATGTCTTAACGATATAAGTGGTCACCGATTGGGATGTGATTGGATTTTGACCACAACTTTGAATAATCCAACAAATCTAAAGAGTTTTGCACACATTTTATGGTATTTGATGAACAAAAGTGAGACCCGTTTTGTTGAACAAGAAGTGATCAAACTATTCATTTGTCTCGTAAACCACTCTTTGGCTCAAAAGGGTTTGTCTCACCATTTGGATCAAGTGATGCACCAAATGCTGGCATCAATTAATGCGAAGACTATTCATGTAATTAACCAAACATTGAATATAATTGAAAGAAAAGAGCAATTCATTAATGAATACAAATTAATTACTATTTTGATTGATTGCATCCATAATTGGACTCAAAATAATGAGCAAAATGTGTATATTTTATGCCAAACAATAGGCCTTTGCGTTGATAGCAATGATTTAGCCCTTAAAGTAAGCCAACAATTGGTAGAAAACAATGATTTGATTGCTTTAATCGCATTCCTAACCAATTATATCCAACACAACAGTACTTGCGATCAAATATTTGTGAATAAATGGTTTAATTATACGATCGGTTCGTTAGTTATAAACACAGAAATAATCAACAGATTTGAGATTGAAATCAATGACAAACAACTCATTGAAAGACTTTCCGATAAAAAAGTTAATGATTTTTGTTTGAAACAAATAAATGGGTTTCATTTCCAGCGCTTGAATGCCAAACAATTTGAATTAATGGTTGAAATTGTATTCAAATTCATTGAATTCAAGAATGAGATGAAAGAAATGCGAAAAACTATTTTACAATCGCTATCAGTGTTGGAGAATTTGGGCACAAAATCTTTACTCACAAACCAATTAAGTGATCATTTTATAGACAATTATTCACAATTACTGACAATCATATCAATTGACTTCAAAGTTAATGTATTGAAAAATTTGAGAGTTTTTATTGACACGAATTTTATAGGAAAAGGCATTGAATATAATAGCGATTCAATGATTAAATTATTGAAGCAATTGAAGACTATTTTGAATGATTTGAGTTTAAATGAAGATAATTGGGAATTAATAGACAGCGTTTTAGAAGTGATTTATGTTGTATTGCTATCAATGAGTGGATCGCAAATGCAATCATTTAGTGTGGAAATAATGACATTAATGCAATGCATTGACACGATATGGGCTACAAATGAGGATATGATGTGTTCAACAATTAGATCCACTTTAGTGTCCGTTCTCTTAATATTGCATTTAAAGACATTGAGTCCACAATGGATTGGATCGCGTGTTGAGACCCACTCTGACCTCCAGACTCTCTCATCTCTGCTATTGAGTGATGAACTCGTTATCAGAATTATTATAATTAAAACCTTAACCGAAAACATCTCATCCCTGATTGAAATCCAAACACGAAATACACATTTATTTGAGACTATTATCCAAACTGTTAGCCGACTCTGTTTGATGGATATGGACGAAGACTTACAGACAAATGCATTGCAATTATTGCACACTATTTTTACTCAAATTAATGAACAAAAAGCATTTTACGAAACAATTAATTTGTTTATTAATTTACATTTGTTTCATACAATCTATTATATAATGAATGGAAATGAATATCTGCTTAAAGTGAAGCTACAAGTCGTCCAAACCATTCAATACATTCAAAATCAATTGAATATATTTTACGACCAAAATATTCCCAACACTTTTGAGACACTAATTGCTAAACAATTGGTCACGTCTTCAGTTGACGACCACTTCAAACAAATTATTTCAATTGATTTGAATATTATTTTTAAATTTATTGTTGATTTTGATACTAAATCGTTGGCACAAAACGCAAGCGAAGACTCACCCAAATTAAGTATATTTGACGACATATTATCCGCGGCTCTCATTAATACTCATATACTTCTTGATTGTTATTAATACAAGTTTTACTGATTTGTTTGACATAAAGGATAGAGCGCTTTTCATGCAATGGTTTTATATAGCATTCAATTTGTACCTGTAATAACCAACACGATCTAATTTATTAAATTAGTAACACTATTACAGCTATTTATATAATTATTATTATATTGATGGGTGAAATAGTGACCCTATATTTCAATCAATTATACCATTGTATGAACAATTGAATGCTTTATCATATGTTACACTCAATTATTGTATTTTTAAATTATTTTTGAAAAACTAATACGAAAACAATCATTTGACAAATGATTTTATAATCAATAAATCATTACAACTCACTTTTCATTAGACTTAAAATTGTATTTTGAATGAATTAAGCTCCTGTTTACAACTTGAAGACTTGTAATACATTATTAATAATTACATTGATTAATGAGTTATAAATATGACCATGGTGCCTGTATGCACCCATCTCTGTCATTATATATAAGTTTTTAAATAAATATTTTTCTTAAATAAAGCATTGATTTGTATTTAACTAATGATCCAATTCTTAACGAGAAAAGCATTTGAAACGTCTGGAAGANCAACCCTTGAAGCCCCAGATGTAGACAAAGACCTGTACTATCATAGTATAGGTTCCGCTAATGGTTTCGTTGGACTGATAGACGACAGTGTAATTGGTTTCGCGGCCACTGATTGTCTCGTATCGATGTCTTGGAGACAAACCGATGTCTTCGAAGACATACACGAATTGGTTCACTTCGATCGGCATTTGGCCACTCAGTCGGGCATTCATTGTCATCGGAATGTCCAGAACTCCCGGACCATCGCTCCAGACGTTCACCTGAGCTGTATATCATCAACAAAACATATGGTAAGTGTCGGAAGTGACCAATCAATTGATCCGATCATTGCATGTCTTACTGCAAAATACGCCTCCAATGGAAGACAAACACAAAACCAATGCTTTCACACAAAACTCAACACTATTTCCACTTTTCATATCGACTTCACATTCAAATTGTTGTCATTTTTGTAATCAAATTAAAATCAAATATAAAAATATGTCATTAAATGATTGAAACTTTAATTCATTAATAAATCTGTAAATCCATTGAAAAGTATAGAAAAACGCAAATATTTTCGCAAAAAAAACAATTATTTGTTTACAAATGAATTCACAAACAATACATACATTACGTCCTCTTATTGTTGTGCTCTCTATTGAGTGCAACGATTGGTTCATTCAAATGAACACATTTTATAAGCCAAACACCCATTGGTCTACTGATAACCATATCTGGCATTTAAACACATGTGTATTGACTACAGTATTGATTGAATCAATTTGATTGTGACAATGAGTGAAGAAGTGGAGGAAGCGATGGATGTGTTGACAAAAGTGTTGTCAGCAGTGGATGTGGTTCTCGATGACTGTCTTTCTGCCAATTGTGACGACACTCTCGTCCAGAAGTTGCTGTCGTTTCTCAAACACGACCAACACTTCCCATCAGAGCATAAGATTATGGTTTTGAAGTCATTGGAGAAGACAATTGACACGCCTTTGGATCAGTTGTTGGCCAATGATTGCCAACAATTGTCTACGAAATTACGCTTTTGTGGTTCACTTCTGTCCGATCGACAGCTCTTTGAATGCCAACAAAATTGTCTCAAATTTATTGAATTGATGTCCAATGAAGTGATTATTTCTAACAAATCTTCGCTGAAGTACTCATTCGTGAGATGTCTTAACGATATAAGTGGTCACCGATTGGGATGTGATTGGATTTTGACCACAACTTTGAATAATCCAACAAATCTAAAGAGTTTTGCACACATTTTATGGTATTTGATGAACAAAAGTGAGACCCGTTTTGTTGAACAAGAAGTGATCAAACTATTCATTTGTCTCGTAAACCACTCTTTGGCTCAAAAGGGTTTGTCTCACCATTTGGATCAAGTGATGCACCAAATGCTGGCATCAATTAATGCGAAGACTATTCATGTAATTAACCAAACATTGAATATAATTGAAAGAAAAGAGCAATTCATTAATGAATACAAATTAATTACTATTTTGATTGATTGCATCCATAATTGGACTCAAAATAATGAGCAAAATGTGTATATTTTATGCCAAACAATAGGCCTTTGCGTTGATAGCAATGATTTAGCCCTTAAAGTAAGCCAACAATTGGTAGAAAACAATGATTTGATTGCTTTAATCGCATTCCTAACCAATTATATCCAACACAACAGTACTTGCGATCAAATATTTGTGAATAAATGGTTTAATTATACGATCGGTTCGTTAGTTATAAACACAGAAATAATCAACAGATTTGAGATTGAAATCAATGACAAACAACTCATTGAAAGACTTTCCGATAAAAAAGTTAATGATTTTTGTTTGAAACAAATAAATGGGTTTCATTTCCAGCGCTTGAATGCCAAACAATTTGAATTAATGGTTGAAATTGTATTCAAATTCATTGAATTCAAGAATGAGATGAAAGAAATGCGAAAAACTATTTTACAATCGCTATCAGTGTTGGAGAATTTGGGCACAAAATCTTTACTCACAAACCAATTAAGTGATCATTTTATAGACAATTATTCACAATTACTGACAATCATATCAATTGACTTCAAAGTTAATGTATTGAAAAATTTGAGAGTTTTTATTGACACGAATTTTATAGGAAAAGGCATTGAATATAATAGCGATTCAATGATTAAATTATTGAAGCAATTGAAGACTATTTTGAATGATTTGAGTTTAAATGAAGATAATTGGGAATTAATAGACAGCGTTTTAGAAGTGATTTATGTTGTATTGCTATCAATGAGTGGATCGCAAATGCAATCATTTAGTGTGGAAATAATGACATTAATGCAATGCATTGACACGATATGGGCTACAAATGAGGATATGATGTGTTCAACAATTAGATCCACTTTAGTGTCCGTTCTCTTAATATTGCATTTAAAGACATTGAGTCCACAATGGATTGGATCGCGTGTTGAGACCCACTCTGACCTCCAGACTCTCTCATCTCTGCTATTGAGTGATGAACTCGTTATCAGAATTATTATAATTAAAACCTTAACCGAAAACATCTCATCCCTGATTGAAATCCAAACACGAAATACACATTTATTTGAGACAATTATCCAAACTGTTAGCCGACTCTGTTTGATGGATATGGACGAAGACTTGCAGACAAATGCATTGCAATTATTGCACACTATTTTTACTCAAATTAATGAACAAAAAGCATTTTACGAAACAATTAATTTGTTTATTAATTTACATATGTTTCATACAATCTATCATATAATGAATGGAAATGAATATCTGCTTAAAGTGAAGCTACAAGTCGTCCAAACCATTCAATACATTCAAAATCAATTGAATATATTTTACGACCAAAATATTCCCAACACTTTTGATACACTAATTGCTAAACCATTGGTCACGTCTTCAGTTGACGACCACTTTAAACAAATTATTTCAATTGATTTGAATATTATTTTTAAATTTATTGTTGATTTTGATACTAAATCGTTAGCACAAAACGCAAGCGAAGACTCACCGAAATTAAGCATATTTGACGACATATTATCCGCGGCTCTCATTAATACTCATATACTTCTTGATTGTTATTAATACAAGTTTTACTGATTTGTTTGACATAAAGGATAGAACGGTTTTCATGCAATTGTTTTATATAGCATTCTAATAGCATTCAATTTGTACCTGTAATAACCAACACGATCTAATTTATTAAATTAATAACACTATTACAGCTATTTATATTATTATTATATTGATGGGTCAAATAGTGACCCTATATTTCAATCAATTATACCATTGTATGAACAATTGAATGCATTATCATATGTTACACTCAATTATTGTATTTTTAAATTATGTTTGAAAAACTATTTACGAAAAAATAATACGAAAACAATCATTTGACAAATGATTTTATAATCAATAAATCATTACAACTCACTATTTATTAAACTTAAAATTGTATTTTGAATGAATTAAACTCCTGTTTACAACATGAAGACTTGTAATACATTATTAATATTTAGATTGATTAATGAGTTATAAATATGACCATGGTGTTGTATGCACCCATCTCTGTCATTATATATAAGTTTTTAAATAAATATTTTTCTTAAATAAAGCATTGATTTGTATTTAACTAATGATCCAATTCTTAACGAGAAAAGCATTTGAAACGTCTGGAAGA